TGTCGGCGCAAATATAACTATTTACCTACTGATCATCAACTAATTACTCTGTGATAAGAAATTGATGTTAAACAGTCCCTTTTATTGTAATTTCAATACTTTAAAATCTTGTAAACACGCTCACGTGTTTAATACTTGTAAACACGCTGACGTGTACGAAGTCCTATAAATACGGCCGTGCTGTCTAGCGTTTATTCATTCGTGTCCGAGCCGTAGTACAGTACGGATCTCTCTGTAACGTTGTTATGCTTCTCGTGCAATATACGCAGTTCTCGTGAAGTTTTGTTTTGGAAGCCCAAATATGAGTCATCATCGAGAACTTAAAGACCGTGACGTCAACAATGCTGACGTCACACTTTTTAAAAACATTCCTTCAGCGTTTCTCCTCCGTCATATATAATATGGACGGATGCTTAAACAAAAAAAAGGAACGAATGAAAAAAATGTTTTTTTTTTTAATAATACGAATTTGATTTTTACTGTGTCCTTTCACACTTTTATTCTTTGTTCTTTTAAATACTAAACGGACACGTACCGTGCATTAATGTGTTTTGAATTTTCGTGAATGTCATAGTAAGTGTTTGTTTTTTTTCCCTACCTATTAGTTGGTAGTCTATGAGGCTGTAAGTTTGTACCAATCGTGGAAATGAATTCTTGTTTGAGAAGGAGAATAGCCATTCCGCAATTACGATTAATATTTGTGAATAGTGTGACTATAATAGTACTAGATATCAGGGTAGGTATTTATGCCTATTTATGTCGTGAAGCAGTAACGCGTTTCGGTTTGAAAAGTGGGGCAGCCGTTTTAACTATACTGAGACCTTAGAACTCATATCTCAAGGTGGATGGCGGCATTTACGTCGTAGATGCCTATGGACTCCCGTAACACTTAACACCAGGTGGGCTGTGAGCTCGTCCACCCATCTATGCAATAAAAAAAAGGTATGGGAATTAATAGTTGTATTTGTCTATGAGGTGCGCTGAGGAATTTGAGGAAATAAATGTACATAATTTGAATTGACGCAGCTATAAGTGTTAGCAGCTGAGAGACTATTAGTAATGTATTTTATACAGAATCCGGATGGGGTGACAGTTGTGTTGTTAGTTCGATCTAACTTTCTTCCACATATCACTGACAAATCCCAATACGTAAGGTTATCATCGTTCAAACTGCAATCTTATAGCGTGATCTACAAGCGTGATCTGATTAATATAGGTGAGTAATTACCAACCCTAACCGTTAGATAATTGAGAATAAAATTCATATATTATTCTATTTACAATAATTACATATATTATTATTATTATATTATGATTATGTAACTAATCTCGAAATGGGAATTTGCACTCGTTAAGATGGATGACACGCTTTGTTATATCTTATTTTCAAATATTTAAATTCACGTATATTCTTCTAATTGATTGATTATTTTGAGTATGTACTAGCTGGCCCGGCAGACTTCGTAGTGCCTCAACCGATAAATAAAAGACCTAAACTTTTGTACAAAATAAACTTAAATAAACAAAAGGAATCCGTCCGACAGGGGACACATGTAAGGAAAAACAAAATTGTTATTTTTATTCAATTCCGAGCATTTTCATATTTATCTACCTTTTAAACCTTCTCTGGACTTCCACAAATAATTCAAGACCAAAATTAGCCAAATCGGTCTAGCCGTTCTCGAATTTTAGCGAGACTAACGAACAGCAATTCATTTTTATATATATAGAAAAAGAAAATAGGAAATTAACATTTGTATGCGATTACAGTAATTGTCTATGATTACAGTAATAATAATGTCTACGTTTGAAATACAAATTTACTTAATCTCTTCAAAGTTGTTACATTATCATTAGTGCGTTCAACAAACTGTATTTGTACTAACGAGTATCATACAAGTATTATATTTAACTACACGTTGGAGTACGTATAATCTCCAAATTCACACACACAGCCGAAGCTGTGAGAAACAGTCAAACGAGCCGAGCCTTGTAGAGAGTACTTAACGATAGAGAGCGACTTGGCTCTCTACCTCTTGCATTGCTGACGTCCATGAGCATGCTCGTCTGCCTAATAGGGTAATAAAAAAAACGCAAATGTCCTCGAAATGTAAATTACCACAAAACAAAATACAGGGACACCACAATCCTTATTTGCAGAATAGTTCAATTCATATCGATCACAGAGTAAATATGTACGAAGATAGCGCACGACTGGATGTAACTCGTGATTTATTTATTTATCTTATACTTATCTTATTTAATTATACGATTTACATTATTCAAAGGCATAATTCGAAACTAAATTTCAAATTGCAGTGATGAGCGGTAACAATAATAATTACACAATATAACATTATATATGTATACTGTGAATTCTGCTGCCCGTTAGAAGCATTAGTCATAGTTTCAAAATTTTATGTTAGTAACACCCAAAGAAGTGAAGAGAGTTTTGAGTGCCTTACAACAGAAGTAGCTAGGATTGCTAAATAGGTTACAACAAGCGATTTATCCATAATATCAAATATTATCACGAGATTTGAGTTGAAAGAAATTAAAATCGTACAACAAAATCACACCCTGTACTGTCCAGATAGTATTTCTGATAGGACATCATTTTAAAAAATACTTTAAAATATTTCTGTGATGTTGAGACTGGACAAAATGGCTGAGTTTGAAGTCATTGTGCATCCGGATTCATGTCGTGCATTGAAAATCTTCGAGCGTTTAAGAAATAAATTAAATCAGCATTATAATACTTTTTTTTATTTCAGTGTAAATAAAGTCCAAACGCTCATCAGATCGTGTCCCGGAAATTTCCAACTTAGACTCTTGATTTTATTTCCCAACCTATGCTGATAGCCTTGAGAGGCTATTTCAGCTTCTCCTTGATGTGTAGGTGAGCTCACGGGGCTCAAACCGGGAGTGTTGCTAACACTAGCCCTAGCAAGAGCAGCGCTTGGCAGAATCTACCACCGGAAGATCCGGCGAGAAACTCAGTGGGCCGTCCCCCACTGGGACACGTGGGCACGTGGGATGTGTGTCTATGGGTTAATTCACTCGTCGAGCCCTTCGTCGCAAGCGGCGGATTCGACGAGGACGATGACCGGTGCTTGTGGTACCTAAAAGCAGCGTTGATGGATCGGGAGGATCCGTAATGACGTGTTTTACTTCATCATGGCTATCTATACTAAATACAAAGGACGTACGACCGAGTAAACCGGGGGATTCCATCACGGAGCAGGTAACAATTTTTTCAAGAAAAACCCAAACTAACCCGTATTCACAGTTTCAATGAATAAAGGAATAATATTTAATAAAAGGGAACCCATTTTAAGGCGCATAGTGATTTTGTCCGGACGGAAGACGATGACATCTCGACGGGCATAGGTAATCGCTCGACAACTGTTCCGCAAACTCGTCCATACTACGACATCAAATAATGAACTAATTTAAAGAACCGAAAAAATAATTCTTTCTTTTTTTCCTTTTAACACACGAACTGGAACGATTAGTTAAAACCAGAAACCCGCCAACAGAGGTAAAAAAACAACAACTGCCAATCAGTATCCGAGAGTAACCAATTTAACGCTACTGGTTATCATTAATTAAGTTCATTAAAAAAGGAAAAAAAAAGATCGACTGTTTCGTAAAAAAACAGGGATGGCCGCTTCATTTCGTTAATTGGTAACGCACCAGTCTAATTACTCGATACGCTAACGATCAGATGAAGATAGATAGCGATTACAATTGTAATGGGTTCGTACTTATTTTAATGAATACTCGTGAAATAATTGTTGGCTATTAAAATTTTGAAAGACGTGTACATTAATACATCAAAGAAATAATAATATCAGAATTGCATCCAAAAATGTTTTGAAGTAATGACTAATAATACCTACTCTAATATCTCTACTAAAAAAATATTAATCGAGTTATTTTTTTTCAAAATCGAAACAAAAATAAATCGAACTTTTCCTAGTATAATCCAAACCAAATATTTACCATTAGTCCCATTTAGTCCGATAAGTAGTAAATGCACAAGCACAAGAAACACGAATTGGTTCCTTCCATTTGCCGCGTTATCGCACTCATTAACACCAGCATCCATCATACTGCACTGAATTACGCTAGTTTTTCACAACATGGATAATTTACATGTTTAACATTTCACTGTCAAAGTAACCTTCTGTTCACACGATACTGATCTATGACGCGAATTTTAAATTTCAAATATGTATTCCAGAATTTTGTATTCTAAATTCAAAAGTTCGGGGAACATCGCGTTTGACGTGGGCTTACGAACGTGAGTCGGTCACACGACCATCCAGCTTCGGGCCTTGCGTCGTACTATCGCGCCCTCCCTCATCTGTGTTTACTCTTTCCTAAATGGGGGGCTCGAGGCGCCTTTACGAACTAAGCTCATATATCTATTATGGAATAATAAGTCATTATGACCTAATTCAGTCGTGTCGTTGTCGCTTCGAACAAGTAGTTTTGGACTTTAGTTGACGTAATTGACGCTAAAGTTATTCAGAATTTGCACTAACTGATTTTACTTCTACTACTACACTATAATTTACATATTAATTTTGCATAATAGGTTTATATTAAATAAGCTTTAGTAATAATGTGGTACGGACAAAATATTTTTACATTTTATCTTATGGCTGCCCCAAACTTCAAACCGAAACGTTATAGATAGCTTCACGGCAAAAATAGGTAAAGCGGTAGTACCAATTCTGTGTGGGCTCAAAAGACTCCCTACCACCAGTAATAATTAGCCGCCCACCAATAACTAGCAGTAATTAAAATTTCTATTTCAAAAAATAATTAAAAATTGTTAGAAGGCTTCCGAGGAATTGAGTTATTGGGATGAAAAAAGCTACCTCATACCTTTATTATTACGTTAAAGAAAAATTAAAAGAAATGCATCGAAACTCTTTGTAAAACTTTTTGTAATGAACTTAGCTGTTGTACCCAAACGAACTTGAGACGTCAACATCACGTAACTCCCTTGCCAAGGTTTTTTGTTTGAACACATATGAACCCCTGCCCCTACTATTAAAGTTTTCAAAAGCTTTAAAAAATGAAAGGAAACAAAATACGGCTTATTTCATTCGGCGCATTTGTCGAGTTAGCGCATGCGCACCAGGCGGGCTGGGCGCCGACAAAGGATCCCTGTCATAGAGTAACTCTATAACAAGTTTCGAAGTTCAGGTTTTTGTGATTTCTATCTCGTTCAATTATAAAATAAGCTTTGGCTTAAAACATATTCGTAGCGCTTACGTCCCACTAAGTGTATATCACTACCCATGATGACACATGGGGCCGAAGTCTTATTTTGAAATAAAGACTATCGGACCTTGCATTTGCAAGAAGCAATGAACACCATTTCAATTTCAAATCCATTTTTCTAATGCAAACCACTTAAATTGAGATATTTTTTGAGCGTTTGAAATCATACACAAACGCCTTAAAATTTAACAGCAACTTATATTTCATTATAATCAGGGCATTTAATACAAACTGTCACATTTAAAAATTCAAATTTCTAAACTTATCTACGTATATAATGAAATAGATTAAATATCACGTCCGTTCCTTTTATTTTTGTTTCCGAAATATTTTTTTATATTTGGATATTGTTAATTACTCAAATAGCATATCTATTGTGTTTTGGTTGTTTATGAAATCGAAACGCTCACAAGACTTGACGTTATTTGAATTGAATTTGACTTTGGATTTTTATTTTAATTTACTGTGATTACCTGTGAAATCCAAAAATAGGAACTGCGCTCATTTCATTTACCATTTAATTTACAAATACTTCTTCATACATTGATGCACTTATAATACGTTTTAAGCAATTGCAGAATAAAAAAACTGTTTTGCTAAAATTATTGCAAAACAACGTCCCATCTGTAGTAGCTCAAATCTTTGTAAATGCGCATAGACCTAAACAAAAAACGTTCTAATTTCAAACCGGTCGCCCCTCCGCCGCACGCGCTCCTGCGCATCCCTTTGCCCATTATTATGCTGAAGAGGTCATTCACAGTTCGCACACACACACACACACACAGACACATATTTCAGAAAAAAAAACAACAAAAGATTAGTCACCCTAAAATAATATTATATTGCACGTTAAAGAAATCTTTTGCAGCAAGAAACGTCTTACGTTTCTATCTTTAGTGATTTCCTGTACATTTTTTTATAAAATTTTATGTAGACAATATAAAAAAAATTACATATATTTCAAGAAAAAAGATAACTTTGACCATTTACATTTATTAATATAAAAGAAGTATCAGAATATACGCCATTAGCAATTTGTTTAATTTACCATACTATTTACTAATTCAACAACTCACGCAAAAAAAATGTGTATTGCAACACATTCTCATCGATTTATATCGAAGAGGATTCAACTATTAGAATACATACTGTCGAATTGTTAATATTGTATCTTTAGAAATAGCTTTCATCTTTATGATTCACAACTGAGATTTTTCGCAACGTGAATACGTCACTTCTTCAAATGCGCCAATAACCTAACCTAAGCTCACTATCTTATTGTAAATTTTATCGTGTTCAAAATCATGGGAATAATATAAAAGACTGTTTCTGCAATGATTAGGTGTACTGCAAAACATGAAGTTTTGACATACAAATTGCTTGAAATCCGTACATATTACTCTCAAAATTTGGTGACTTGCAACGCAGGTAGGTAACTGATAATTAGCAATATAATTCTTCATATACACAAAAATATCACATATAATACAAAATATATGTATGTATTTAAAGTCATAATGACCGAAATAATATTGCTGCCAACTAAAAAAATTGGATACAAACTGGTGAATACATTCAAATACATCAAGTGACCAGAAAGAATCAGAAATTTTACTTAATACAAACAAATTATACTTTGGTGCCGCAAATTAAGTTGAATTTCAAAAAGGCCGCAGATACATATAAGTGGAGCTTTTAGTACTTTTTACATCAAAGAGCAAAAAACTTGAGAACTTATAATGAGTTTTAAAGTAATAAAACTTGTCTACCATGATTTGTATGACATGATAATTGCGAAGTGTAAGATATTAAAAGGCCGGTACAAAAATAACTCAGCACGATAAATTCACTAATAAATAGTCATATATTTTATGTGTCTGTTTTACTTTTGAACTGGTATTATTTAGATTAAGAACAAGATCTTGAATTATGCTATTGCCTATATTGGTGGTGTGTTTGGTGTTTTTGGTGCTCTCTATGTTTTGTACCGTATATTTCAGTGGGGTGCTCTGTTGAATCATTTGAGACGACCCGATCATCTTCTTTACCATTACACCACTCCCCACCGGAGCTAAATTAACTCCTGCTATTTATATAAGCTGGCTTTAACGAGAGTGCCTTAATGGATCATGTTTTTCCATGCACCTTGGGTAGTATGTAAGGTCCGATATGATATTTCCTCAGCACTAAAGTATGAGAAGTGAAAGTATGACATTTTCTCCGATCGAGGTTTGAAAGGAATACTTTGGAATTGGCATTAACTTGGCTGTGCTTAATATTACTAATGATCACGCGGTATGCTAATTATTTACCGTTAGGTGGGCCGGAGAAAAATGAAATAATAGAACCATGGTAACCGATATAAGCCGAAGGATTGCGAAGATGAAGTGAAAGCGGTCATGGTACATTTCTCGAGGAACAGAATGCCAGTAGGTTAAAAAGCTCGTTGGTTATGACCGCGCATCAAAAGGTGGAGCGTGGGTCAACCTATCTGGTCATTGTAACAAGCCTTGGAGTAGGTTTGATGATAATGAGGGTACCGTAGACTTGTGTGCCTTTCAAAACTTCAATTTGCTTAAATCTTATATGTTATCGAAATGTTTAAAAAAATAATTCCAACTACCATTAAAAACGGGTCTAACACTTCGAATGAAAAAGTATTATTCGTAGTTCATTAATTGCTAATGTTGAACGTATTAATCTAAGTCGATAAATTCTCTAACTAAACTGCTCATAGATTCTTAGCAGGCAGTTTTCTAATAATTTACGGTTCGTAATCAAATTAAAACTGTCGGTTACATTAAAGTGTGATAGTTTTACGACCTCTATCTCACAAACGGACTGTAAAATCATCTCTCAATTAAAACAACGACTAATTGGACCGGTTTCAAGATTTGCATTTTATCGACAATGTGGAGAAAACTTAGGTCCGCAACACCATGTCCACCAGTCTGCAGAAATTTCACAAACTGTATTTATTTAAATCATTTTAACTGAATTTCAGTAGATTACCGAACAAGTTTTAGGGGCTGGTTGTGACCATAGAGCCATAACGGATCCATTTATCGACCCGTGGTACACCCAAAGACACGTGTATTTTTTTTTTAAATATTGATACAGGATTTTATATTAACAGACTATCTTGTAAAAAAAACGAAACGAAACTAGCTAAGTTGGCAAGTAAGAAAAATTTAAAGTTAAGTCTTTAACTTACAGTATTATAATCAGTCAATTAGAATCAAATTATTTTATACAAACGGGCAAAAGATACGAACGTATTATTAAAAATTATATAACTGTAATCCGTTTAATGTAATCTTGGCTTGGTTTAATAAAACATTGACCTACATGTTATTCTATAGTTTTTTGTGTTCCTTAGAACAAACTTGTTACGCAGTGGTTCTCTGTGAAATGTTTTCTCAGATTTATTGTACCTATGCTTTTACTCCTAGTCTAAATTTGTTATTAATTTCATATATTATGAGCCAGTAAAGGGCAGGCATCATTCTTCAGCACGATCTTATTTTCAAATATTTATTAAATACTAGCTGACCCGGCAGACTTCGTAGTGCCTCAATCGATAAATAAAGGACCTAAACTTTTGTATAAAATAAACTTAAAACAAACAAAAGGAATGCGTCCGACGCGGGATACATCAAAGGAAAAACAAAATTGTTATTATTATTTAATGTGTGTTTTCATATTTATCTACCTTTTAAACCTTCTCTGGACTTCCACAAATAATTCAAGACCAAAATTAGCCAAATCGGTCCAGCCGCTCTCGAGTTTTAGCGAGTCTAACGAACAGTAATTCATTTATTAGTTATATAGGTTCGACCTTTTCAAATATAAAATTAATGATCGTTTTGTGAATATGTAAATTTTATAATTTTCGAACAACTTTTTCGATTTTCAATTGCGTAAAACCTCATTCGAAATATTATGACAAACCTTAAAAATAATTGCCAAATCCAATGGCCATTCTGATTATTATTTGTATACGCATTTTCTACAACACAGTGAAAAAC